TTTGCCCCATCGGTTGGCTTTTTAGAGCCAGTCCTCTGCGATATGATTTTCCTCCTCTCCTCGGCCTTCCTCTCCTGTTCGCGTTTCAACTCTTCCGCAGCTTTTTTCCTCAATAATTGCTATTTTAAACAAATTTCATATAATATTAATTGCAAACAAATCAATGAATGAATGAATCGATGAGACGTACCCTAAGTTTCTTCTTGCGGTCGGGTGTCATAAACCCCTTCTTCCCCTTCTTGGCTCTGGCGGCCTCTTCGAGTCGGGCCCGCACTTCAGCCTTCTTTCTCTCCTTGTCCTCTGCCTTTCGTTTCTCCTCTGCACTCAAATTCTTTGGTAAATATTTGCAAAAATAGAAATAAATATTTCATGAAATACTTGATAGGTTTGCGTTTTTAATTTAGAAATAAATATTAATTTTAGTCATAAACTTGTGCTACGTTTGCTATATTAAAATTATAAATAACTTAAAATTAGAAAATATTAACAAGTATAGAATATATAAATATAAGACAATAGAAGTGAATAAACTATATTATAATAATAGACATTAATATATAGAAGATACGATAATATATAACAATCAAAACAATCAAAACTGTCAGCGCATACCTGTTTGGCTTTGGCTCTGAATATAATTAATATTTTCGAAACGATTTATAAAAATAGAAACAAAAAAAGAGTTAACAAATTGAAGCAATTTTTAAAAGTGAAATCAAATTCATTGTCTTTCTTCATAGAAATGGTTGCACTATAGGTATGAGTCGATTACCTGTCAGACATTGTGGCGTTAATTGATAATCGATTTAATTAGTAATTAAATAATAGGAAAGGCTGTCAAAACAGTTGCGACTGTTGTCTGACTACTAATTCACTAATTCCTGTGTCACTAATAACAGGCTCTCACAGAGAAACTCATAGACGAATAGATAGGGTCTCTTAGACTGGGATTCAGAGCTTCATTTCGATTGCAGTACTTCTCTCCCCTTCGCTACGATTCGTATCCTTAAAACCACACGAGTCTCGTGGCCCTCAAACGTATATACGCATGTCAATACGATTTGTTTAGATAATTATTTGAATACCAAATTTTTGTATTTGTGATTATGTTATGTAGGTTTAGGGTAATATTACTGAATGCAATTAGTAAATAATAATTAACGCTATTATAAATGAATTTGTGTTTTACATTAGTTTAACCAAACAATAGGCAATAGTTTAGTCATAAGGATTTGTAAAATGCATTTAAAAATTAGTTTAAACTTCAAAGTTATTTTTGTAATCTTTTAATCAGAAAATATAATCAAACTCATTGAGAGTGTTGTAAATGAATAAACATCTTAAGCGATGCTTTACATCCATTTTCTTAAGGTTTATACTGTTTAACAAGATTCTGCGAAAAACATGATTAATATGATTATTATTATCGAATAATTAAAATAACACTAATTTGGCTCAAAATTTTTCCATGAGTTATGTTTTGCGTATTTTGTCAATGAAATTATTATTATTTGTGTTGTACAGCTAATTATTATATTAATATTTAAACTAATCATATAATTTGATGATTGTTTCAATTTTATTGATTGTTTCAGTAGTAATCACAATATACAGTACAGTATAATAACACAGATTTACCAAAGATTTGATAATTTGTTTTGATTTACATAATTTCAATTTTGATTACTATTTTATTTCGTATTAAACTTTAAGTGAGTTTTATATAAGAAATATAATTAATTTAAATAATAATTCATCTGCCATAATTTTGTTAAGCAAATAGGGAGCAGTACAGTAAAGTACTAATATTTGTATTTTAAACTAGATTTAAGTACTATAACTATATTAGAGTAAAAGTAGATAAGAAGGTTATAGTATTTTTGGTTACTTAAAATCAATAAACTTATAAAATGTAAAATCAATATTGATTTATTTACTACGAAGATAAAATTATTAAAATGTTTTTTAAGATAAAAGTATTTTAAAAGCATTTCTATATTTATTTATAATTTCTATAATATTTATTTTTCATCACTTTTATGTCAAGTTTTATGTCTGAGACAATCATTTTTGACACACTTTTATTTGTTGTCAATTTACATTTAAATGGTTTTATTCTGATTTACAATCGGTTCAAGTATAAAGACATTGATAAACAGATAAGACTTAAATGATTGGCAGACAAACAAAAGCACTTTTTGTCTTTTTTAATCACAATCTTATTTAAAAGTAGCAAGGTATATAGTTTTGGCGTATTAAGCACATTAATTTTGCACGTGCATAATACTTATATAACTTTTCTAGTTGTAGTTTAACTCATGTAAAGATTAGTAACTATGTAAAACTGTAAAGATGTAAAATATAGTAACTAGCAAAAAATATGATAAATGATTAAAATTTTAAAAATAAATCCCAATTTATCTTAATTTAAATTTACAGAAAAATCTCTTTAAAAAATTAAAGATATTATGCGCAAAATATCATAAAATGTTAAATACGATAATAATTATAGTTTTAACATATAAACCACTCAAACCTTGTTTGAAATTAGATTCGCTTTTATTGTTATGAGACATGTATTCATCAAATTCATTATAGTTTAGTTTGGCTAATATATTGATGAATGTCTAACAACTGTTATTTTAACATATAAACCACTCAAACCTTGTTTGAAATTAGATTCGCTTTTATTGTTATGAGACATGTATTCATCAAATTCATTATAGTTTAGTTTGGCTAATATATTGATGAATGTCTAACAACTGTTGCATTGCCTGATAAATAGTAGTTTTAAAAAATATTAATTTTATTTGTTGACTTTCACGAATGCCAATCTGATTGAATGTTTTAAAATTAAAATTAACTAAAAATCTTTAATCCAGCACAAAATTTTTTATTTGTTGCATATGCTATTATTTATAACAGAAGTTTGCGTAATTTTCTTTATTATAGATCAAATGCAATTGTTTGCTAAAAAATATTTACTAGAATTTTGTAAAATAATCACTAATATTTAATAATTTAATGAAAATATTTTGAATATGTAAATTATTATAATTTTAGAAATAAAAATATTAAACTGATAGTTAATTAGTTTCATAATATAGTATTAATATTAAACACTACATTTCCAATAACCGTGCAATGCTAAAATTTTAATTTAATTAGATTTTGATAAACATTTTTTATTAATATAATTATGGATTAGTATTTTATTTTATAAAAATAAATAATTGAGTTAATTATAATGAGGTCACAAAAAGCCATATTTTTAATACTAAATTATTCATCAGATTTTATGATAAACTCGTTTTATAAACACTTATTAAAATGTGTTTTAAATAATTGTGAAACCAATGCTTAAAATATATACTCATTTAACTAACTCTCCAATTGTTTATATCTTGTCTTTTATTTAATGAACACATGATTTAGATTTATATGAGAATTAGCAGGCATTCAGTTTTGGCAAACGTGTGACAAACAGACATTAAAAGTCTATTCAATAGCTTTATAACTAATTATTTATAGTAACTCTTAATTCAGACGAAACATGAAAATTAAAACTTTCATTATATTTAACATTGGATTCACTCATTACAGTAGTCTTATTCTCAATTTATATCTACATAGATATATATATTTATCTCTCTCTCTCTCTCTCTCTCCCTCTCTCTCTCTCTCTCTCCCTCTCCTTTACTTTTTAAACACTAAANATATATATATATATATATTTCTCTCCCTCTCTCTCTCTCTCTCTCTCTCTCCTTTACTTTTTAAACACTAAACACTTTTTAAAGCAAAAACATTCATTATTTTGAAATAAAAGACATAAGTATGTTTTATAACTTATTCTTTTTTTTATTTTTATTTAATTTTAATAATAATAATAATATTAAAAACTAAATTAAGGTTTAAATCTTAGATAACATAAAGTGCGGAATGGATTCTCGTGTGAAAAATTACTGTTTCTCTCTTTGGATCACTATATCTAAGATCTACAGATCGGACCACTCGATGGTTTGGTCTATTAATTCTCATGGCTTGAAAACTTTGGAAGTTCTGGAAGTCTTGGAAGTTTGGATTCTCCCAGAAGTCACTTCTCCTTCTAAATGATTGTCGTCTCGTGTTATTTGATGAATGAGTCGTTGAATGAGAATCAGTTGATTGAGCCGTCGATCCATTGGGTGAGCTATTCCTGTACCGAAACCTTCGGATAATAACGGGTTTAATGGTTGTGCTCTCAATGAAACTGGAATTCGGAGAAAACACTTCTGTTATCACATATGAAGACAATGGCTGAGGAGTTGTCGATTTGGTTTGAGACAGTGATCTCCACTTAAGCAAAGGATTGAGTCGTCGGGCGGGCACAACACTCTTGGAGTCCTCCATGAGGTGCAGGTGTGGGAACTCATCCGGATGTGAGGCCACCGGCGCCCTCGCCTTTCGCACCTGATTTGATGGCTTCTCTGTCGTTGTCGTCGACTTCTTATTTGATTTCCTCGATTTGGTCGTTGGTTTGGCTGTTGTGGTCGTCGTTGTCGATGGAGTGGTTGTAGTGGTAGTCGTAGTACTTGTTGTCAGGGTTTTTGATTTCTTTGATTTGCGGTCAGTCTTTGTATTCGCAAAATCCATGAGTTCTCGAAGTGGTCTCAACGTTGAGGTCGACCAATGAATTTGTTGCACAATTGAGTTCATGGCTTCACTCGGTCTGACCTGAGCCGCAGATTTTGGTGGTTTTGATGTCGAGGTTTTTGGTTTACTTTTACTCGATTTTGATTTTTTAGTTGTTTTCGGCTTTTTGGTGGTTGTGGTGGTAGTGGTGGAGGGGGTTGTAGTAGTGGTGGTCGTTGTGGATGTGGCGGCCTTTGCCTTTGCTTTAGCCTTCTTCGCGGGACTCGCTTTTGCTTTAATCGGTGCCGAACTCTCAGCCGTGTCCTCATCGCTATCATCATTATCGGAGTCGTCTCCACCAGAATCACTGCTTTCAGTGTCCGCCTCTTCTTTAGCCTCTGTCTCAGCGCTCGAGTCATCGGCTTCTGTGGTCTCGGAATCGCTTTCATTACTTCCTGTGGATTCTGTCTCGTCCTCCGAGTCATCGCTATCCGAGTCCTCAGAGGCTTCAGTAGTAGTCGTCGCCTCTTCTGAACCTGAATCGGAATCTTCATCTTCTTCTTCTCCGCCACCACTGGAGGCCTCAGTCGTAGTTGTGGTCTCTTCTGAGTCAGAGTCAGATCCGGAATCATCGTCGTCATCATCACCACCAGCCGGTGCCTCAGTTGTAGAGGTGGTTCCCTCTGTGTCTCTGCCCTCTCCCTCGGCCTCATTGTCATCGTCGTCATCGGCATCATCACTGCCAGTGGACTGAGTGGGAGGCCGTGCGGTGGTGCCAGACGGTGGTCCACCTGAGCCGTCATCGATCTCTCTGGTCCAGGAGCCTATGGTGACAGGTCCGGGCATTTCACTGGAACACCTCTGCGAGCATTGGTTTCGACACAACTCCACATTACATGTTAATTGAAGGTCAGGTCTGTCCGGGAATTTGAACGCCTATTCAATATTACAAAAGCAAATTCATTATAATATAATAAGTTATGGGAAATATTTTTGTTTTGCTTAATAATTGAATTATAAAAAAGTTATAATATAGATATAATATGATATGTAATTATTTAAAATAATATAAATTATTAACAAAACAAATATTGAATAATATTTTGCAATCCATAGAATTAAAACCTTAAACACTAATAAATTTAAATTCTGTCAGAAATCGGTTTAAAATGAGAATAATTGGCAATAATTTGCAAAACATGACTCACTTAACATCGAAATGAGAGCAATTGTTTTCATATTATAAGTCTTCAAATTGAAAAAACTTAATTTTTGTCTTTATTCATAACCATTACTAAGTTCTCATTAAAAGCTGTTTCGTGTTATAAAAACTTTATCTATAAATCTATTTCACTTTTAAGTCTTTCACAGACTTATAATCGATATCCCATTGAATGAAATCCAATTTATAATAATTAATCTTATTTTTAAGATAAAATAATTTTCAAAAATATAAAATAAGTTTTACTTTTATTTTTAAATAAAAGTAAATATTGTAAAGTAAAGTAAAGGAGATTTTATTTCTGGTATTGTTTACGCCTTAAATAAATACACTAAAAACAAATGAAAATTTCCTCAATTCTGTGGATTGTGTGTGTTTTTTTGACCCCACATTTTGAGGCAA